CACTGATACTCCAGGAAGGTAGGAGGATGAGAAGAAGTGAAACGAAAAGAGAGCAGCACTAAAATCACTAAAAATAAATGAGAATACATACAATTGTACATGTACATATGTACTTAATCTGCCAAAATAAACTGTACTAAATGGATTCTTCTCTTCCCCCCCCCCTCTCTCTTCCATTACTGTACAATACATATACATGTGTACATGTACATGTACCTCTTAGCCCATTCACATATGTTGGTCATCTCTTTAGACATGTTCTCCTTCATTATGTTATCTTCTGATAGTACACATAATTCAGACCAGTGATACTATAAGAATATAGTTATATATACTGTACAGTGGGTATATTCCGTCCGAGTTGAATTTCATTCTTTTCGTTCTCATTCCTTGTAGAACGAATATTTCTCAAACGAAAAGGGTGTTTCTTCAATACCATGTGTGCAAAATGGCTGCTCAGAACGAAAATAAAACGAATGAAAATTTCTAATCCTGCTTAGAACAAACATTTTTCCAGACGAAATATACCCGCTATACGGTACATGCATGTACACATGTAAATGTACACGTTATAGATAAACTACAGATGGATATACAGGAGGATGCTAGTTGATTAGAAGCAGAGGCTATAGTACTATTGAGTGCTATAGTGTTTACTCTTATAGTGTGCGGGTGAATTGGCAGTTAGATGATGCTACTAACTACCACTCCTGTGATCTACACTATATATACTCATGACAGTGCTTTTGATACAACCACACACTATAGTACAAATACATGTACATGTATATGTACTTTCTTACTAATATTAAGTGGGTACAGTGGGTATATTCCGTCCGAGTTTAATTTCGTTCTTTTCATTCTCATTCCTTGTAGAACGAATATTTCTCAAACGAAAAGGGTGTTTCTTCAATGCCACGTGTGCAAAATGGCTGCTCAGAACGAAAATAAAACAAACGAAAATTTCTAATCCTGCTTAGAACAAACATTTTTCCAGATGAAATACCTTAAGCCTACTATTTTTAGCGTCTACTAAATTTAGCTATATTAGCGAGAGAGCTTTAAATCGCTAAATTAAATAGACGCCAAAATAATTATTATTCATTATAATGGTTATTATTTATAGTTAATTTGGTTAAAAACGCTAAAATTAGTAACGCTAAACATGACTTTTGCTGATTTCGCTAAAATTAGTAGACGCAAATAATAGTAGGCTTAAGGTATACCCGCTATACGGTACATGCATGTACACATGTACATGTACATGTTATAGATAAACTACAGATGGATATACAGGAGGATGTTAGTTAGTTGATTAGAAGTGGAGGCTATAGTACTATCAAGTGCTATAGTGAGTACTCTAATAGTGTGCGGGTGTATTGGCAGTTAGATGATCTACTAACTACCACCCTGTGATCTACACTATATATACTCATGACAGTGCTTTTGATATACACTACTACACACTATAGTACAAATACATGTACATGTATATGTATTTTCTTACTAGTATTGATGTTAAAAGTATCGGACATTTTTCAAGAAAAAGTTCGGCTAAAGACCTAATAATTAATAACATTAACAACAACAATAATAATAATAATAATAATAATAATAATAATGCATGTACCATAATGAGGGGGTCTTGTCCAAACTCTGTTTAAGACCCTATAAAACATAAAATTATTATTATTATTATTATTATTATTATTATTATTAATTATTAATTACTGTAATTAAGTGATGAGTGATATCAAGTGACAATACAAAGTCTACATTAATATGGAGCACCTAAAAGGAAACTAAAAATTAATTTAAATTGAATTATTACGTACTATATTTTCATTAATAAACCGTGCTAGACTAATTAATGATTCTTCCGTGGGCGGA